ATCTTGGATAGTGGTTGTACCGCACACTTGTGTGGTGACAAACGCAGGTAAAATGGTAACATGTCAGTGATTGCGGAACGTCAAGGCGATCTGTATTATGTGCGCCAAAATTCAGAATTCGCGAAAGCAATTTACCAACCTGAATGCTCCGACCTGTTGAAGTGGCATGAAAGGTTGGGCCATTTAAACGGGAAAGACTTAACAAAACTTGTTCGCGAAGGAAAAATTCCTAAAATTGATTTACATAATATTAAGTGTTTATCTCAGTGCGAAATTTGTATTAAAGGAAAAATGACCGCATTACCATTTCCGAAAAAGGAAAAATCATGTACAGAAAAATTAAAAGTTATACATTCGGATTTAGTTGGACCATTCAGAACTGAATCAGCTGGTTGCGCTAAATATTTCGTCACTTTTGTAGACAAAAGTACAAGGTGGTGTGAAGTTTACTTTCTGCGACAGAAGTCTGACGTCCTTGACGCGTTTAAACAATATCAACAAATTATATGTGTTGGATAAAAATCCTAATAAGGATATATGTGCTCAGAGATCTGTAGAAGGTATATTCGTTGGTTATCCTAGAGACCGTAAAGGATATCGTGTATGGTTGCCAAATACACGACAAATAGTTCATGCTCGTGATGTTAAATTTTTAAATGACACTGAAAAAGTCATTTATGAAGATTCTTTGGATGATTTATTCAGTTTAACAAATAATTCATCAAAAGAGGGCATTAACAATATTCCAAGGACTGAGTTTTTATCACATCCAACTGAAAATGAAAAATCCCATACATCTCCTTCGTTTTCTGTACCAAACATGGACAATCCCAGTGAAGTGAGAGCTCCGGGGAGACCGCGTATATTACGCACAGGAAAGAGAGGACGACCAAGAAAAATTTTTCAATCAAGAAGTTCAACGATTGACGAGGACCTAAGCGAGGTCACACTTGATTATGCGCTAAATGGTAAGTCCTGTGATGAATGGAAAATTGCCATGGAATCTGAAATAATAAGTTTATTAATGAATCATACATGGAAGGTCATAAAAATTGAAAATAAAAACAATGTTGTTGCTTGTCGATGGATCTTGACAAACAAATATGGAGTGGATGGACAGATCGAGCGGCATAAAGCTCGTGTAGTTGCAAAAGGCTACAGTCAAAAATATGGTATTAATTATCATCAAACTTTTGCACCAGTTGCAAGATTAGAATCTCTGCGATTATTATTAGCACTCGCAGTACAGTTCGATCTAAAAGTTTGGCAGTTTGACATTGTAACAGCTTTTTTGAATGGCTCGTTAAACGAAGAAGTCAATATAAAGATACCTGATTTCTTGAAGGAAATATTAAAGAGAATTATTTCAAAACAAGGATCATCTGAAATTGGAACTTGTGCTCAAAAAATGTTAAAAGATTTCGAAGATGGTAGAAACGTCTGTGGATTAAACAAGGCAATCTATGGGTTGAAACAAGCTGGCCGACAGTGGAATTCACGACTGAACGAAAAATTCAGAACTATGGGTTTAAAGTCAACAAAAAATGAACCATGCTTATTTTATCTGGAAATCAATGGTGAAATATTTTTGGTGCTTGTGTATGTTGATGTTGACTTGGGCTTGAAATTGATCAACGAGAAAACTGCATCAAATTATCTCAAACAAACTACATACTCGGAATATTAAAACAATACGGAATAAATGAATGCAATCTGGCTGAAACACCTTCTGAAATAAACATGAATTTCGATGATAAAAAGGAAGAGGACGTGATTAAAAATTATCCGTATCGCTAATTAATTGGTACTCTCATGTGTCTGTCAGTGGGAACGAGACCAGACATTGCAAATGTTGTGTCAAGATTAGCGCAGTTTACGACTAATCCACGGAATTGTCATTGGCTTGCAGCAAAGAGGGTACTAAGATATCTCGTTGGGACTACGAACATTGGTCTCATATATGGTCTCTCATATATTAACAAAACCTTTGGTGCGCGTAAATCATAAAAAATTTTTAAAAGCACTTGGTTTAAATACTACTTTTTTGACTAAATGTGTGTATTGAGAGGATGTGTTAGAAATTACCATTTTTAATTTCTGTATTACAATACACACTTTATATTTCACGTAAATATGCTTGTCCTTGATTTCATCAAGGTTCTGAGTCAGTCTAAATCGAAACGTTATACGTTATAATTAATTAATTAATAAACTTAAAATTGTAAATATTATATAAGTAGATGAAAATTTTTTTTCATATATGTTTTCCAAAGGTTTTTTGTGCTCTTTCAATTGGTGAAAAAAAATTTCCAAAAATTCCAAATTTTACCTTATTTTTTAAAAAACAAAAATTTATTTGCTTTTTTTCAAAATCGGTCTTCTTTTTTATTTTTCAAATTTTTTTGGAAAGTTTAAAACTTATACTTTCAACATAAAAAATATGGAAATGTCCTTCTTCGTTGCCTTTGAGATATTTATTAACCAATTAATTAATGTTAATAAGAAATGATATATTTTATAAACAAATAAAATTATTGTAATTCTGACGTTACTAAATGAAAGTTGACATAATTCCGCATCCAACGAGCCCTATATGAAGTACTTTGGATTAGTGGATTGTTAATAAACAATCGGCTAACATTGCAATTGTTTAAAAAAAATCTTCTAATCCAAAATAGTTCATAAAGGGCTCGTTGGATGCGAAATTACGTCAGCTTTCAATTGGTAACTTCAGAATTGCAATAATTTTATTTATTTGTAAAATATTTCATTTTTTATTAACATTAATTAATTAATTAATTAATATCTCGAAAATAACAAAAAAGGAAATCTTAATATTTTTTGTTGTGAAAATACACATTTTTATCTTTCAAAAAAAAATAAAAAGGATCGAAATTTAAAAAAAAAGTCAAAAGAAAATTTAATTTGCAAAAAAATCGGACAAGTGCGAGTTACACTCGCATTAAAACCGAGGGTTCCGTATCCTTAAACCTAAAATTTAAGGGGGTTAAAGTGGTGGAAAAATTCCAATTTTGCTTAATTTTTCCTGTAATGTGAGCATAAAAACACAGTCACATATAACGAAAATTATCAGTTTTTCTTTGAAAACGCTATGATCATCAACTTCAATCTTGTTCACTATATTTTTCTTGTAATTTAAACGTAAGAATACGCTTAAAAATGTATAAATTTGAAGCCCTTTAGATAAAATTTTCTTCGTTTTTTGAAGAAAATTTATGATTTTTATCGAAAATTATCAGTTTTTCCTTGAAAACGCTATAATAATCAACTCCAATCGTTCTTGCAATATTTTTTTGTAATCTACACGTAAAAATATGTAAAAATGTATAAATTTGAATTTCTTAAGATAAAATTTTCTTCTTTTTTTATTCGCAAAATCCATGATTTTTTCTAAAAATATGAATTCTCCTCAAAAACAATATGATCATCAACTCCAATCGTGCTCGCTATATTTTTTTTGTAATCTATACGCAAAAATACATATGTATACTAAATATGAACTGTCTTGGTCAAATAGTATGTGCGCTAGGAGGATTAAACGCTTTTTTAAAATTTTTGATTTTTCCTTGACAACGCTATGTAAATATAGATCCGAATCATGTTCGCTATATTTTTCCTGTAATTTTCACATAAAAATACATAAGGGTACCAAATTTGAGATCTCTATGTGAAAAAATGTGGCCACCAGGGGGGGTACATAATCATTTTTAGGGATTTTTCGTAAAAATTCATGGTTTTTCCTTGACAATGCTATGAAAATCAATTCCTATGAGATTCGTTATATTTTTCCTGTAATCTACACGCAAAAATACATATGTATACCAAATTTCAGCCCTCTAGATAAATTCGTGTGGCTGCTTGGGGGGGGGGGGTACATGCTTTGCTTCACTAGTCTCATTAATAGGGTTCCCCCTTTGGGTACGGAACCCTAAAAAGGGTCAAATTTTGAATTTTTTGAAAAAATTGTTTCACCGTTCGAAAGAGTATGAAAAAACCTTTCGAAAACATATAAGACAAATTTTTTTTCATCTTTCTGTTTAAAAGTTACAAGTCTTCAAAAATACACTGTTTTAATTTTTCAAAAAAATTGAACCCCCTCCCTCTCCTACAGTTTTTGAAAAAATCTAACAATACTTCGTGTTTAAAGTACTCACCCCTAGGGCTAAACTATGTGCAAGTTACAGCCCGATCTGATCAACTTTTTTTCACTTAGTACGCTACACGAATTTTACCACATAATAATAATATATACTAAGTAAAATAGGTGTCAAGGATATATTTTAAGTTTTAAACTATTTTTTTAAGTGTAATAATAATAAATATTAACAGTTATAATATATAATTTTACCCCATAATAAAAATATATACTAAGTAAAATAGGTGTCTAGGATATATTCTAAGTTTCAAACTATTTTTTTAGTGTAATAATAATAAATATTAGCAGTTATAATACAGTTATGAAATTAAATTTGTAACATTTGCTTTAAAAAATATTTTACCAGTAATTCCATATAAACATGTAGTTTAAATGAACATCTAACTATTAAGACTGAAAGAAATATTAGATGTAACATCTATAATAACATTTAAATAGTTTGAAAAGTTGAAGGAACCATCGATCGTAAGGCGTTCTCTTGTGGAATATTAACATCTTTATTAATGTATGCAAAAAGCTCTCTTATCTTTTTGTCATCAAAGAAGGAAATTAGTAGAAATTTTTCGACCGTAAATTTCTCAATCATTTAATTAAAAATATCTTGAATAAATTTATATTAATTTATTGCTATTATTAATAACATTTATAAATAAATATATTTATTTAATAAATATATCGTGTCGTGGTAAAACACTATTTTTTACAATGTTTTTGGGAACGCCATTTGATAAATCAACTTTTTTGGACATCGTTCCACACGTAACCCCTTAAGTACTTACCTTTTTTATGTATGGACTATGAAACAATTAAATATTGCTTCTAGATGAATCTACAAACATTATGGCTAAGTGCAACATTAACTGTAATCATAACTACACATGGGTATGGATTTATATATCAATCATTAGAACAAGATGTAAATACAATGCCAGTGCCAAAAAAATTTCACAAAGTACTCCATTCTTATGTTAGTGCCACCAATCCTGTAAGAATACATTAAAATTATTATTTATTCTGAAGCGTCGATACAATAGTCACAGTTTAGAGCACAATTTTGATAAGCAGGTATTGAGAAAATAGAAGTGATGCGCTGTGTTCGCGATTGATTCTTATTGCACTGTACAGCAATTAAAAACTGTCAAATAATTTATAAAATATTTTTTTCGTCTCTTCATTGTCTATTAATAGTTACAAATTTGTGAATTTTAAAAAACTAAAAAATAATTACTTTGGAACTGTGTTTCTGAAGCCACACAGGCCTTGAGTGTTTAGATGTCCTTACGTCGAGAGTTGAGTTACTTCAATGTATCACTGCACTATACTGTCCATTGCATCGACGCTCCAGTGTATTTTGTCTACAAGAATTAAATGGATTTATCACATAATTACAATTGGTTTGAATCGTTTACAATTACAGAAATCACTTAAGAACGCTTGGATAACAGTAAAATTACGACAAAATAATTCTAAATTGGTCCGAACAGGGTGAGTAAAAATAAATGTATTATTAATTTTCAGAGTTATATATAAATATACATACGGAGTCTCAAGCAGAAGCTGGTTTGATGAAAATGTACCTACTAGGACTTTCCATACAATTATCTGGGATTGTTCTCTAGAAAGCCTAAATTGAAACATAAGGGATTCCATTGTGGAATATTAGTCTTAGGTAAGACAATTTCGACCCCAAAAGGATTTTAAAAAAATTTTAAAATCCATATATCCATATATTACGTCACAGATTTTTTTTACCTTTTTTGACCCCCCCCCATGTCACACACTATTGCGTACATTAGTGCCATTTTTTCTGCTGGTTGTCACAAATGTACTAACCTCTTTCCCCTTAAAGTGTGACGTAATATATATATTATATAATATTAATATATATTTGGACAGTTTTTTAATATGTAACGAATCCTTAAGATTTCAACTTTCATTTAAAAAAATTAATTGATGGAGACTTCAATAGTTTCAGAGATATTGAAATTCTTCTGAAAGCGTGCAACAGTTTTTTGCAAGCGCTGGGCAGTGTATATATTGTACCATGTGCGTGAGGTCTTTTAGTTTTTTCTGACTTTTAATCATTTTTTGTGTTATTGATGTTTTTTTTGGTGTGATCTAATTTGCTGAATTTTTCTGCTTACATTAAAGTACTTTGTTATCAATTTTTTATTGTCATATAAATGTAAACTGTGATTAAGAGTTCTTCGCATTCTCCTAACCTTAAATTTGTGTGGATACTTTTTTCTGATAATTCTCAAAATGCTGCCTAAAGTGAACTTGGTTGATAGTTCTAATATATGTATGGGTTGTAAAGCATCTGTAGGTGATCCTATTTTTTGTCCGAAGTGTCGTACACCTTTTCATCGATATTGTGCTTACCAGTGGGCAATGAACAGTTGACTGCTATGAATGTGGAACGCATTATTAACAATGCCATTAGGACATTTTTTTCACACACGAAAAAATCAATGATTTTCAGAAACTAGGACCAAAAAAAAATACCCGTGTCTGGCCGTTTTGCTAGATCAGGTCATTTTTTGCTTTTAGGGGTAAAAACAACCCTTAAATGAAAGGTGATAGGAAATCTTGTACAAATTAATAATTTTTTATGAAACCTGGTATCTCGGGGTTTTTGGGGTCGCTGATAACGAATATGATGTCAGATTTTGAAAATTCAAAATGGCGGATCCAATATGGCGGTCGAAATTTATAAATATTAATTATTTTTTATAAAACTTGGTATTTTTGGGGTTTTTAAGGTCGCTGAGTACGAATCAGAAGTCAGATTTTTAATATTCAAAATGGCAGATTCAATATGGCGTTTCAAATTTATAAAAGTTCGTCGAATTCACTTGAAACTTGATACTTGAAGGTTTTTGGGGTTACTGATTACAAATTTGATGTCGGGTTTTCAAAATTCAAAATGGCAGATCCAATATGGTGGTCGAAATTTATAAATGTTATTAATTTTTTATAAAACTTCGTATCTCTGGGTTTTTGGGGTCGCTGAGTACGCATCTGAAGGTAGATTTTTAAAATTCAAATTAGATCTAATAATATAGAAGATTAGAAAACAATATATAAAAAATAAAACTTTCCACATATGTGTTTTTTGTATATTGGACACTTTTTTAATGACAAAACAGGCTTTGTAGTAAGTAAGAATATTTTTATTAGATAACAGTAATAAGCTCAAGTAAGATGAATTTAAAGATGTGAAGTGATTGTTTAAAACTGCTGTGCAAAGTAAAAAAGTCTACAATTGTCATTTGTTTTATGTACTATTTTCCATAACTATGCAACTGAAAACGAACATATAAACAACTGTCATTTGTTTTAACTTTGTCCAATATACAAAAAACACATATGTAGAAATTTTTATTTTTGAAATATTGTTTTCTAATCTTCCACATTATTAGATCTATTTTGAATTTTAAAAATCTACCTTCAGATGCGTACTCAGCGACCTCAAAAACCCAGAGATACGAAGTTTTATAAAAAATTAATAACATTTATAAATTTCGACCACCATATTGGATCCGCCATTTTGAATTTTGAAAACCTGACATCAAATTTGTAATCAGCAACTCCAAAAACCTTCAAGTAACAAGTTTCAAGTGAATTCGACGAACTTTTATAAATTTGAAACGCCATATTGAATCTGCCATTTTGAATTTTAAAAATCTGACTTCAGATTCGTAATCAGCGATCTTAAAAACCCCTAGATACCAAGTTTTATAAAAAATAATTATTATTTATAAATTTCGACCGCCATATTGGATCCGCCATTTTGAATTTTGAAAATCTGACATCAGATTCGTAATCAGCGACCCGGAAAACCCCGAGATACCAGGTTTCATAAAAAATTATTAATTTGTACAAGATTTCCTATCACCTTTCATTTAAGGGTTGTTTTTACCCCTAAAAGCAAAAAATGACCTGATCTAGCAAAACGGCCAGACACCGGTATCTTTTTTTTGGTCCTAGTTTCTGAAAATCATTGATTTTTTGGTGTGTGAAAAATCGTGTCGGACGGTGAACTAGATGGTTTTGGGTAAGAACCTTGATGGTGCTTTTGTAAAAATCAATAAACATGAAACCAAGATCGACGAGATCTCTGACAAACTATCAACTATTGAAAGTACAGTGGCTTCTATGAAATCAGATAAATCTCATAGTCCAATGGACAACAATTCTTTAACCCGAGAGTATGTCTTGGAAGTAGAAAACAGATTATCTAGAAAAAAGAATCTTATTTTATTTTGATTGTCTCATGTCTTGCCATCTGATCCTGGATCGAGTGCATAGCTCCCTAAATCTGATGAGTTAAAAAAGTCTTATTAAATGCATTTATTGATATTGTCCCTTCTGAATTGACATCTACGATATACGAGTGTTTAGAGTAGGGAAACTTTTACAGAATCAGTTGAGACCACGTCCCGTAAAGATCGTCTGCGAGGCAGTAGAGAATGTGCATGCTCTTCATCAAGCCTTTATGATTGCCAAGAGGGATTTGAAATTTAAAGATCGATTGAAGGATCTATGGTTAAATCACGACTTTACCAAAATGCAGCTCAGGGAATTACCAGAAGTAAAGGAACAACTAAAAGCACGCATTTTGCAGCGAGAGTAGAATATCAAACTGTCATTTCGTCGAGGAATACCAGTGATAACAGTAATGACGTCTCATCAGTCTAGCTGAATCTAGTGACTTCTGCTAATGTAGATAGTGTGAGTGTGTTGACGGATCATCCTCCTAGTGCTATTTGTGGTAAGGATACCACATTTACTTTATACTATCAAAATGTTCGTGGTCTGCGTACGAAGTTACACACATTGAGGCAATCTGTTTCATTGTCTACATACAGTGCGATTGTGTTTACAGAAACGTGACTCACGGATAGTATATATTCCGCTGAACTTGGTTTAAATGGATTTAACATTTCTAGATGTGATAGAAGTGTAAATTCAAGTTCTAGTTCACGCGTTTTAATTGCTTTAAAAAGTAATTTGCACTGTTCACGCATTAATACTCGCTACAAAGTAATTGAGCACATTTTTGTCAAGTTTACAATGGGATCACATGATTTCTTACTAGAAGTATTTTATATTCCTCCTTGTTCTTCGGTGGATTATTATAATACTGCGTGTCAGTTAATTGAGGAGGCTGTCATTGACCTACCATAGGCTATTATAACTATTTTAAATGATTTCAATATGCCTTTTCTCTCATGGTGTACAGACAATAATTATGAGATGCGTAGTTCTTTGCGTGATGAATGACTGGACAAATTCGTTTGAGAATTTAAGTATTCATGAAACAGTTGAAGTTTTTTACAGTTCATTATTGATCCTCTGCATATAATATATAATAAATCATTGACAAACAGTACATTTCCTGCCTTTTGGAAAAAAGGAATAGTTATACCGGTGTTCAAGGAGGGTCATAAGAATAATATAAAGAACTACAGAACGATAACATTACTTAATTCTTTTGCAAAAATTTTCGAAAGTCTTATCTTTGATCATTTTTACAAATCTTTTTCCGATTTACTTATTGATGAGCAACATGGATTCGTCAGAGGTAGGTCTGTTGACACAAATTTGACAATTTTCACTAAAATGACAATTTCGAGTCTTGAACATAACATATACTTTATAAAATTTTTTCCATTTATTTGCTTATTTTGATCTGCGAGTTATTTTTTCAAATATTCGGCTTTTTTGCTTCTTTTCTTATCTATCCTACTTTTTTCTCTCATCTGATCCGACTTTTTTTTAAAAATTTCCTCTTTTTATCTTATTTTTTCAGTAAGTTATGAGCTTTCATTCTATGTTTTTTTTATTATATTTTAATTTAGTACTATTAAAATATATTAAAGTACATTTTCCGTTACGGTCCTGACTTAAAACTAAGGGAAGGTTTTTAAAATTAATTATCTTTGTTTTCCTGAAACGTATTGTTCTTGTTAAAAAGTATATTTTGAATAACCCGCGAGTGTGATTCAACCCCTTGTCGATAGAGGGTACATTGTATTTGCTTTTACTTTTCAGAGACATTCTAACTTCTAGTTCTATTCAGACATTCACTCTGTTCTCTACTGTAATTTTCTCTTATGTTAATATAAACTCTTTTGTACCGCAATCCTTATCATTTATCTCATAGCTCCTCACAACCTTTTTCACCAACAGGTTATGGGCCCAGGTTGTGAATTAGTGTAGCGTAATACGGCTGAAAGTGATTTTTTCGCGTCGGTGAAAAGTTTGAGGTTAGCGTGTCCTCGTGAAATTTTAGTGATTCGTTACAAAAATGAGCAACGCTTCCAGCGCAAGGTTCGACCTTCTCCGGAAGGATAATTATGATACTTGGAAGGTCCAAGTACGTGCGGTACTGATAAAGAACGATGCGTGGGGCTACGCCAGCGGCACCGTAGTCAAACCAGAGGTAAACGCTGACGATCCAACGACACAACAGGCCGCGAATAGATGGACACAGTCGACAAGTTGGCAGAACTGGACATTCGGATAAACGAGGATCTATTGTCAGTCATGCTTTTACGAAGTCTTCCGGAAACGTACGAGAACTTTCGGTGCGCGATGTCGTCTCGGGACGAATTACCGACGATCGAAATGCTTCGAGTTAAAATAGCGGAAGAATCGGATGCGCGAAAAGAAACGAATCGAGGTTATATGCAAAATGCGATGGTTGCCGGAAAACCCGAAAATCGAAGTGCGCAAAATAAATACGGTCGACAAAAGAAAAACGGAAAAGGAAACGTCGAGAATAAAGACTTCAAAATGAAGTGTTTCAAGTGCGGAAAAATTGGCCACCGCGCTAGAAACTGTCAAAATGCGAAAGAGACTACCGGACAGTCCGCGAGTGGCGCAGAAGAAATAAGTCTATTTACAAATTCGGAAACCAGTGTCGACAAAGCTTTCAGAACAGTGAACGATTTAAATCGTGGAATTTAGTGCTTTGACAGCGGGTGCACATCGCACATGTGCAACGACGCAAATTTATTCGTAAAAGTGACGCATAACGGTGAGAAACGAAAACTTAACCTTGCAAACAGTGCGCGTACGGATATTTTAGGCAAAGGTGTAGTGTCTACCGAAACTGTCGACAACGGAAAAGTTAAAGTCTTGAAGTTAAGTGACACCCTGTACGTTCCGGATTTACGTACGAATCTTATCTCGATCGGGAAGATTACAGACAAAGGTCACGACGTCGTCTTTAATAAAAATGAGGTGAAAGTGATTGACTGCGATGGAAAAGTTTTGATCGCGGGAACTCGCGAAGGCGGGCTTTACTACTTAAACAAAGTTAGTGAATCGGAATGCAAAAACGTTCGCGAACCCGACGCAAAACGGACACCGAAAAGGGACTCTCTTGAAGACTGGCATATCCGCATGGGCCATTTAAATGTGCAATCGTTGCGGGAAGCTATAAGGAAGGGATCGATTCAAGGTGTCAAAGTTGAAAAACTTAACGAAGATTTTCAGTGTACCGTGTGTCTTCGCGGAAAAATGTGTCGCCCTTCATTTCCCAAAGCATCGAAAAGGATTACAAATGTTGGAGATCTAATCCACACAGACGTCTGCGGTCCTATGCGCGTCGCATCCAACGGAAAGAAGAAATACTTCATCACTTTTATCGACGACTGCTCCAGATGGTGTGAAGTGAAGTTTTTGTGTCACAAGAGCGAAGCAGTTGAGGAATTTGAAAAATTCAGAAGATTCATGGAAACACAGAAAAACACGAAGGTCAAGCAGTTACAGTCAGACAACGGAAGAGAATTCGAGAACCGGAAATTCGACGAATTACTTCAGAAGAATGGGATGACGCGAAGGTTAACGGCTCCTTACAACCCGGAGCAAAACGGTGTCGCTGAAAGGCGAAACAGAACCTTGGTGGAAACTGCAAGGTGTTTACTGATCGAATCCGGACTTCCAGCAACCTTCTGGGCAGAGGCCGTCAACACGGCTAACTTCATTCGGAATAGGTCACCATCGAGCAAGTTGAACGGAAAGACGGCATACGAGATTTGGTACGGAAAACCCCCTGATGTCACAAACTTCAAACGATTTGGCAGTGAAGTCTTCGTCTTGAACAGGTCACCAGCCCTCGGAAAAATGGAACCAAGATCAAGAAAGGGCATCTTTGTTGGATACAGCACAGAATCCAAGGCGTACCGTGTATGGATACCGGAAGAAAGACGAGTTGAGATTTCGAGAGACGTCAAGTTCATCGATAAATTACCCGTTTGCCAAAATGATGATTTCGCAGACTTCTTTCCAATTGAGAAACGTCCTAACGAACTACCAAGTCCAGCAGCAGAATTTTACGAGATCGACTTATGTAGAAATCCAAGTCCAAGCACAGAAGTCGACGAACAGCTGGAAAACGAGTTACATGAGGAAGGGGGAAAAGAATCCGAAGGTGAAGAATCCGAAACCGAAGAATTTCGAGGATTTCCTCGTAATGAGCCTCAAGCTGCAGCTCGACGAGGAAGATCAACAGTCATACGAACAGGACGTCCGGGCAGACCTAGAAAGGTTCGCAATACTGCAGGCTGTGCAGACGATGTCGACGAGGATCTCACTTTTCTAACCGAAGTTCCAATCGATCAAGCTATGATCGATCATGATTCCAAACAATGGATGGTTGCAATGGCCGACGAAATAAAAGTGATCATCGAAAACGACACTTGGAATCTTGGAGATAGACCTGAAGGATCATCAGTGATAGGCAGTCGTTTCATCCTGCGTAACAAGTACACCTCTGACGGAATCGCGGAAATGAAGAAGGCTAGAATCGTGGCAAAGGTCTACTCACAGCAGTACGGAAAAGATTTCCACGAAACCTACGCTCCCGTGGCGCGTTTAAGCTCTATAAGGACGGTGATCGCTTTCGCCGCTCAGAAGAAGATGAATATTCGACAATACGACGTCACGGCAGCATATCTCAACGGCAGACTCGACGAAAAAGTTCTGATGGAACCTCCTAAGTGGTTAGAAGAGACACTGAAATTCATCGTACAAAAACGGAAGAGCGAAGGTCAATGGGTCAACAAAGCAAAGGACATGTTGAAAGAGTTGACAAGCGGTGACAAAGTTTGTCACATGAAAAGGGCTCTTTACGGGCTGAAACAGGCCGGACGTGTCTGGCACAAACGATTGGACAACGAGTTACGCAAGTTGGAAGCGATCTCAAACGTTGCCTCGGAATGGACTTCGAAATAAGCGAGAAGGGAATTCACGTCAATCACAAGACATACATCTTGGAGATTCTGCAACGATTCGCGATGTTGGACTGCAATCCAGTGTCAACTCCTTTGGACCTGGGAACAAAACTCATCAAGGACAACGCATGGCAGGATTCAGACGGTGAAAAGCCACCTTATCGGGAACTCGTGGGATGCCTTTTATATTTATCGGTATCAACACGTCCAGATATTTCTCACGCCGCGAGTGTCTTAAGTCAGTTTAACGACTGTTTCAATAAAACGCATTGGAACGCCGCGAAAAGGGTGCTCAGATACCTGAAGGGCACAATTGACTTGGGAATTTTCTACTCGTGCGAGAAAAGTGATCTTGCGGGCTACGTCGACGCTGATTGGGCCGGATCAACTCATGACAGGCGTTCATTCACCGGATTTACCTTTGTTATGAATGGTGGCGCAATCATTTGGGACTCTCGAAAACAGCGCACGGTCGCGCTTTCGACAACGGAGGCCGAGTATATGGCCATGGCTGAGGCGGCCAAGGAGCTGATTCACCTTCGTCGTTTCCTCATGGAACTCGGGCTTGACAATGCTGAGTCGATAACTCTCTTCGTCGACAATATGAGCGCGCAGAAATTGGCGAACAACCCTGTGCATCATGGACGAACGAAGCACGTCGACGTTCACCATCACTTCATTCGAGAAGTCGTGGAATCGGGTCAAGTAAAGCTAAGTCACATCAAATCAGACAATATGATAGCCGATGTATTGACGAAGGCTCTATCGAAGCCTAAACACGAACAATGTGTCAAATCAATGGGATTATCGAAATCCAGTGCTTAGAATCAGTGGTTGCATCAAGGGGGAGTGTTAAAAAGTATATTTTGAATAACCCGCGAGTGTGATTCAACCCCTTGTCGATAGAGGGTACATTGTATTTGCTTTTACTTTTCAGAGACATTCTAACTTCTAGTTCTATTCAGACATTCACTCTGTTCACTACTGTAATTTTCTCTTATGTTAATATAAACTCTTTTGTACCACAATCCTTATCATTTATCTCATAGCTCCTCACAACCTTTTTCACCAACAATTCTCTAACTACAATCAAAATTAATATTATTAGAAATTTATTTAAATCTTCATATTAGTCATTTAATTTTATTGTGATGTGAAAATTTATAAAATACTTACTTTCTTTGAAAATTGTCTAAAGGGACTCTCGATGTTAGTTTTCTTTGAATGTAAAAAAAATTAATTTTAATACAAAATATAAATTAAAATTTTTAAAACTAACATATTTCAATATTTTAAAACTTGCTTTATGTAGGACAATAGTAATTGTTATTAAATTTTCGCGTATATTGTGCAATTAATTAATAAACATGAAACACTTAAAGGCTAAAGGTTTCAGAGATTTGTCCATATGTTTATTTCGAAAAGATAATCAGCTACGATTTTCGGGTTAAAAATAAATTAAGACTCCTGGAACCAACCCAGACAATTCCATGGAAAGTCTAAATTAGCACATTTTTATCAAACCTGCCTCTGCATGAAACTCACTGTGCGTAAATTATAATTTAAAATGTGTTCAGTGATCGTGTGGAATTTGATTGCGAACTCAGTGGTAGCCCAACTCCTAATCTACATTGGATCAGAGGAATGAAGACTGAAAGAGAGGTACAGTATTATTTCTTTAAGGTATATCACACATGCACATTTTTAATAAATTAATTTGCCGCGACTTTTTAACAATTATCAATTTTTTCATTAAAAATATAATCATAACTTTGTTATAAAATACGTCTAGTTTATGTTTGCCCTAGGGTAAAAATGAACAGAATTACACACTCTTAAAGACAAAAAAAAGAACAAAGTCCTTTAGGTATACCCGGGCCCATGTAGGGGCTATAATCGCAGATGTTCATGTAACCCCCTTTCCGCTACTTTGACCACAAGGCACTGCGAGGATGGAAAAACCCCTCTTACGAGACAGAATTCCTTGTGCTCTTGAGAACACAAGATAGACGATGTCTAGAGTGCAAAAAGATGGGTGCCCAATGAAATGACGGAGCGGTTAGTTACATTCATCTTGGCTCTGATGACAAGAACAAGATGACAAGAATCCTGTACTTCCAGCAGGGACCACGCGGAGGTTCTACTCCCAGACTGCAGTCTGAAACCACCCCGGTCTCACCCTGCCTCCAGAGGAGGAGGCGTAACAGCGGATCCACAAGGGAGCAAAATCGCTGCGACGAGGCGACTGCCTTACCCCCACTGCGCTATCTAACTAATGCTTTCCCTTTCTGACGACACGGAGGGGAAAGCATTAGTTAGCCTTAAACGACATGCAGTGGGCTACAGGCGCCCTATTCCTTAGCCGGGAACGCCGCGGCGAGGTAAAAATGAACTGCTGGCCCATGTGATATTTTTGCCTTAGGGTAAAAATGGACGCTATTTTCAAACAGTAGAACAAATAAATGGCTTCTTCACCCGGTCATAAGATAATCTAAAAGCTCAACGTTTGTGCCTTTGGAATAAAAAATATCGTAAGTAACATGGATCCAAATTGTTAACGTTGACGTTTGCTAGCACTCGTTCATGTCTCGGGCTGCAAACGCCAACATAAACAATGGCTGCCTGTAGACCCTTGATGCTTAATATACTATTTGTGTGCTGAACACGATTCAGGGTTCCAAAATTGCGTATCACGTCAGGATTTTGAGTAAAGTTGGGGTAAACTCTCCAAAAACCAGGTTTTTGAGGGTTTTTAGTAATTTATTACTTCTTAACCTGGCGTGTTAGATTCTTCTACATAAGCTTAAATTAAAGCTTACAATTAGATCGTACACTTTAAGACTCATATGCGCAAAATAAAAAATTTTGAAATTTGAAAAAATCAGGTTTAAGTCACCCAAAAAGTTTATTGGGGTTATTTCCCCAATTTTTAAAAAAAAATTTTATCTTGCGTATATGAGTCTTAAAGTGTACTATTTAAGCTTTAATTTAAGTCTCTATAGAAGTGTCCAACACATCGTGTTAAATTACCATATCTAAAAAAAGTTTAATTTTGTACACGAAGAAAATCTGAAAGCACAGAGTATTTTTTCTCACTGCACTGGCTACTGTGGAAACCAAAAAATTAAATTCCAGAGCTCTGAATGTTCTCCTTACAGCACTGAATCCTCTGCAGAAAATAAACACTACTTTTTTTTGACAGTAATCAGAGTTTCGTTTCATAGTAGAAGACAACAGATTATTCAGAGCTACGAATATAGCAATAAATTCTTCGCTCAAAGTCGTGCCTGCTTTTCTCACAGCTCTATGTACTGTGTAGAATTATTTTTTAGGATTAAAAAAATAAAAGAACATTTAACCTTTAATAAAAAAATATATAATAATTTTAAACAAGCGTTTAAGACAATTTCAATTTTTTTTTAATTTTTACATTCTCATCACATGAGAAGGTATTATAATTGGTCGAAAATTGAGTTTTTCTATTTCCATGAAATCTTCACGTTTTGAGGTGCCCTGAATCGAAAAATCATGGTCCAGCGAAAGTGTCTGTTTGTATGTCTGTATGTATGTCTATCCGCAGACACAAAAAGTTGATGACACAATAACTTTTGTAAATCGAAGCGAATCGACTTGCAACTTTGCACACACAAAGTTAGTGTCAAAATACTGGTCAAGTTCGTTAGCCAGTCATTTTTATTAAAAACTGCAGGATTTTCAAAATTAAAAAATTTTTTTTTTAATTTTTTTTCACTATACAGTTTTATAGTTCAGGAGAAAGGAAACAACTTTTTTATGTAAAATTTTTTGATTAAAAAAAAAATCAGTGCATAAAATTGACACATACTTATCACAATATATACGGAAAATATGGTACAAGTGAAGAAAATAGCAATTTGGCAAAAAACCACTGTATACATATTATTTGTATTTTATACACAAAAATCAAACTTTCTGACTCAATTATCTCGTAATATGTTAATCTTGGCAAAATGCCCCTAGAGACTTTTTTCTTCAAAATTTTATCAGCTACAACGTTGCTATTGAACATTTTTCTCTATCTCTTTACGTTTTTGAGATTTAAATGAAAGAAGCATTTATTTTTACATTCTTATCACATGAGAAAGTAATCGACGAAAACAGTTTTTCTTTTTAAATATGTCAACAAAATTATGTAGGTATAGTGGTTTGACATAGTCATTATTTAAACTAAAATCTATGATAATAGAAAATTCGATACAATTAAAGGAATTGGAACAAAGAACATGTACATGAACATTTACAAGTACATGCAAGTTTACTTCTAAGTATATTTGTTTACAACAGTTTTGGATTCAAGAACTTGTACATGAACTTGTACATGTTCTTGTACTTGTCCATGCGTGTACAAAAAATATTTCTTTTTAAGTCTAAAATTTAAGAAAAGTGTAGGAAAAATTTAGCCTATAAACATAAGGACAGACTGTAGATACCAAAAAATAATGCGCAGCTTTAAAACTCAAAGAAAACTACTGTGCAGCCTGTGAAGAATTTTCAAGATCGTGTACATGAACATGAATAAAAATAAAAATAAAAATAAGAATAAAATAAATTGTTTAATTAAAGAAACTATTTGAAAAAAATAATAAAGATGTGGTACCAACCCCATAAATGTATTCGTTCGCTCAAATGTTTTAATTGTTTGAAAAATCCAAATACTCAAAAACAGTTCTAATTCCGCATCATAATTTCGAGCGCTAAGTGCGAGTGCAATAATGAGAATGTTATCCTCAAAGTCGAAGATTTTTAAGAAAATTAATTCTGTATAATAATAATAAAACCGCTGCCAAGTTGAAGTATGTATTTTTGTGTTCATTCCATGAACACTTTGCTTCCTCATGGAGATATTTTGCGATCAGTTTACGATTTTTTATTTATATTTATTTATATAACCAAGAAAAAGCTTTCTAATCTAATTATAATGATTTTACAGATACATAAAGATTTTTGAACAAAAAATGCAAACAGGTTTTTATCAATATTATTTATTTTTAAAATGTCAATAACTTTGGATAAAGTAATCGTAAAATGTTCGTTAATAGGTCAAAAGATGCGTCTTGAAAATCTCTACAAAATGAAACTAAAAAAACTGTAGGTGTCATAACATTTTTTTAAAGTTATGAGCAAAAAACGATTTTTTATGATTTTTAAAATGTCAATAACTTTGGATAAAATAATCGTAAACTGTTCGTTAATAGGTCAAAAGATGCGTCTTGAAAATCTCTACAAAATGAGACTAAGAAAACTGTAGGTGTCATAACATTTTTTTAAAGTTATAAGCAAAAAACGATTTTTTATGATTTTTAAAATGTCAATAACTTTGGATAAAATGATAGCAGATTGTTCGTCAATAGCTCAAAAAATGCGTCTTAAAAAACTCTACAAAATTAAGTAAAAACATCCCAACTTTCAAAACATGTGTTTCAAGTTATGGGCAAAAAACGATTTTTCAAAAATTTTAAAAGTCAAAAAAAATATAGTTAATATGTATTAATTTGTCCCAAAGTTTTCTCATTTTATGTCCCCAAGTGAGATCTACAATTTAAAAAAAAATTCAGCCCTAAAGCTCTTATAGAATTTGAGATATTTATGAAAATGTAATGTATATACACACACACACACATACGGAATGACATTTTCTAAAAATGTCATTTTTGGATTCCTGAGGTCAAAAAACATAAAGATATGTCAAAAAAATGAGTTCGAAAAATTTCGCGAAAACAATACTTCCTCCATGAGGAAGCAATATAATTATTATATTAATATATTATAATATAATATTAACTGTAAATGCACACTTTTTAAAATATTTTTATGAAAAACAGATTAATTGACTGAAATTATATATGGGTCATTCCATGTGAAAAGGCAAATGGATTTGTCCACTCGTGGTTTAAAGCAATCGCAAAGTCTTAGGGCTTAAATTTAGCATTTTTTATGTAGAATCGAATACCGAGTGGCTGATTTTAAAATTTTCAAAATGGCGGCCACCACAGGCTGGAATGTGACGTAAAAAAAGCTTTTTTTTTATTTAAATTGGAAAAACTTTTACATTTTCAGACCAAAATTATTCAAAACAACTACTTTTCATATTTGTGAGTTGACAGAACACAAACATATGGTCAGAACTAAAAAATCCAAAATGGCGGAACCAAGATGGCGGATTAATTTTTGAAAATTCAATAAATTCAACTGAATTCAGTTGAATGGTGTTACTCGGGGGTTTTCGGGGTCGCTCATTACAAATCTGATGTCAGAATTGAAAAATTCAAAATGGCGGATCCAATATGGCGGCCGAAATATAAAAAAATGAGTCAATTCGCTTGAAACGTGTTACTCGGGGGTTTTCGGGGTCGCTGATTACGAATCTGAAATCCATTTTTGAAAATTCAAAATGGCGGATCCAATATGGTGTACGAAAAAATTAAAAATCACTTGAATTGAAACGAAATTCGTTACTCAGGGGTTTTCGGGGTCGCTGATTACGAATCTGAAGTCAGAATTAAAAAATTCAAAATGGCGGACCTAATAGGGCGTATGTTTAATAAAAAAACCATTAGAAATGTTCAAAACTTGTTACTCTGGAGATTTTTAAGTTGTAGATCACGAATTTGTCAGCGGAGATT